TGGTGGCTGAGTAAATACTTTTTTGCCCCACTGTAAGTTGAAATGGAATACCCATGGAAGAACATGATTTTGTAAAAATGCTCCTTTAAAACCATGCTTTTCTCCAAGATCCCAACTTTTCTGCACTTTTTTTTCAACTAGTCCAGTGAACAACGTACTGGCAACTGGGTGAGCTGTGTCCTAAAATAGGAGTGTCAGGTTTCTCCCAAAAATGTTTTAAGAAAACCAGCTTTCCCACATTATAATGCCACTCATCCAGCTGCCTATCAGCTGTTCTATAAATGGAGGGAAAATGGCAGCTAAGAATGTGCTAGATCACAAAGAAGAGCACCACCCTACAGTGATTAATGGGTGCTGGCCCCCCGTGGGTCATCATGGACCCCCTTTGGGTCACTGTGCCTTTGACAGAGTATTTGGCAAATTGCATGCAGTTTTACATACCTTGGAACTAGTACAGGTTGCGTGCTGAAGAGGAAAAACCACTATAAAACCTGAATGGCTAACTTTTATCTCTCTCATGGGCTGGGAACAAGAAGTAATATGTCTGAAATGAAAAGATTGCCAGGGCATGTTTGCTACATAGTTAAGGCAAGTGGACAAAATCCCAAATGTATACCATACTACTCTTCCAACAATAGGCTATTTGTCCTAAACAGTATACAAAGTACACATGTAATATACTTTGTAATGTTACATGTGAAATAGTGGAAAGAAAAAGCCAACACAGTAGGCAAAACAAGCTCGTTTATTAAAGATGCATGAAGGTTACACAATCAAATCTAGAACCAGAAGGGGGGGGGGTTTCTATTAAATTCACAAAGAGAAACCTGATTGCATTCCCTTTTATCAAATGATAATGAAAATATTATACCCAATTTCTCTTGTCAAAATCTTAACATTTAGGATTAAAATGTATGAAGCAACTGAAAGGTCTGCACCAAACTCAGTGCTTATTGAAATGTGCAGTTATCACATCCAAAAGTTCTTGCTTCTTTCCACCTCCTGTTAGCTTATAAATCCTGCACACATCCTTTAGAATTGGCACAGTAAGTTTACCCAAAGTGCCTTTATGAACGTGATTCCTCAGCTCCTCTTCAGAGAGTTCTATCCTAGCTTTCTTTTCTGCTTGTTCAGTACCATTACCTGCTGGAGAAAGAATTTGGACTTAATTGTTTGCCACTCATTTGCTATCATGGAAATGTTTCATGTATGCATCCCATCATGGCACAAAATCCAACAAAGCTTCACATTCTGATCTCTTTAAAAGATTAGAGTTTCCTTCAAGACAAGCTCAACTGTTGATGATTTCATAGACATGTCCATGTAGTTTTCTTAGCAGCAATATAGAAATGGTTTGCTGTTATCTCATTCCAGGATATTTTTTCAACTTCCTAATCTAAGTCTACAGCCCTGGTATTCCCTGGAGGTCTCCAATTCGTTGTTGCTGCTTTAATTTTGTGAGATGGGTGGCCATATATATTAAATAAATACATAAATTAAAGTACTAAACAGACTTGACTTTGCTTAGCTTCTGAACCCAGACAAAGTCAACCAGGAGTTGCCACCTATTGAGACAGCTGCTAGTCACAAACAATAAACAGCTAATTGCATTTCATTAAATCTATCTGTACCATAAATGTTTTGATCCATTGTAATTTCTTTAAGAAAATGGGTTCCCAACACACCTCACCATCAAACTATATTCTAATTCAAGATTAGTATCAGGTGGCAGGGTAGGCTGTTAAATATGTGCTTGATAATTGCTATTCTTAATTGCACCTTGGGTCAGGAATCTACCTACAGTCAGGTCCAGAAATATTGGGACATCGACACAATTCTAACATCTTTGGCTC